TTTTCGTCGATGTTAAGCCTAACGAAGACTATTGTATCGTTAAAAATTATTTTTTTATTTTGTACAAAGAAAATAAATATATTGAAAAATATAAAAACAATAAAAAATTATACTTCAAAAGTTAATTTAGTATCAAAAACGTAAAATATTCGAGTAGCCGAAGACATAGCCAAAGATTACAGTGCTGTGGCACTGTAATCTTTGGCGAAAATTTAAATTTGTCGACTGGAATTCCTTCGGATAACCGACCTTCGGATAAATGACGTTCTACTGTACTGTATTGTTTAATTGTCGAATATCAGTATTGACTTTGTGACTGATTTACAGCTCTATTATCTAATTATTACACATTATATAATAAAACACTTAACCAGAATTCACCACAAAAGGATATGAAAATAACATTTATTACAGTGTACTTCAAATAAACAAAATTAATTTCTATAGACACAAATGCAAAATAACAACAATTTATTGGCAAGTACTGATTAAATTGATGAAAATACATATATTTGAATTGTCATAATTACAGAATTTGTCAAGTGTAAACATTGTAATAAATCACTTCTTCATTAGGCACCTTTTCGATATTTTTTTTTCTGCGACAATAAACAACGGAAACAACAATAATTACACCTAATAACATTAGCGAAGTAAGAACACCCACTGAGATTTTCCATCCTGAAAGAGAACTAACTTCGTCGCAAGACCGGCATTTTGTACACGAAACATTTACCAACGACGCCAAATTATGTTTTAAAATTTGTGTGCATCGATCATTAGTAACAATTTCGGCGAAAGACACAGAAGACGAATTTCTCACGCAGCAAACATCGGAGAAATCGGCAATCTTCTGCCTGTTCCTAAGCAACCAGTCCTTAGTAATAAAAGAATGACAATCACAAGTCCAATTGTTTCTGGATAAGTAAATCTGAAATTCCGGCGAAACGTCGATCAGGTTTATTAAACCGGAAGGCAATTCGGTTAATCGGTTTCTGTCCAACCACAGGAATTTCAGGTTTGGCAAAATAACATAATCCGGGATATTACTTAATGAATTATTACTCAGATACATATGGGTGACGTTTTTCCACGTCACAGAATCGAAATTTGACAACTCCTTTATGTAATTATTACTCAAATCGACAAACGTCGCATTGGGGACGAGAACTTCGGGAATTCCGTCGATTCCCTTTCCGGAACAATTGATCATCACGTGATTTTGTTCTGCAGAACATTCGCAATTCATCGGACAATAATTTCCTATGACTACGAGCGATGTATTATCCAGCAAATTTCTTTCTTCTCCGTAACATTTCGTCTTCTCTATATTTGGAAACATTTTCCTCGCTACTTTTCTATTTGACTTAAAGACAGAAACGAATTGCTGCAGTTCGTAGTCGCAAGTAATTTCATTATTACTTAAATCATAAGTCGGCATTTGAAATCCATATTTCTTGTCATCGATGTAAATTGTTCTGATTTTACAATTAGATAAATCTATTTGCGTAGGATTTCGTGTGTAAATTGGCAATTTCACGATTTCAAAATGATTATTTGAAAAATCGACTTCATTCAAGTCGTAGTCTGTCCAATTTATCACCGGCCATTGTGTCAAACCCGCATTCTTCAAAAGAACAGTACGCAGATGTTCGCTGCTGCCAAAAGGACTCTTACCAATAATTGTAGTTAAACTGTTATTAGACAGATCGAGATACGTTAAATTAGTCAATGGGAGGAAGATGTTTTCGTGTAAAAATATCAGGCGATTGTGTGATAACTCGAGTCTTTGCAATGACGACAAATTCTGAAAAACATCTTCGGGGAGATTTTGCAGCCTGTTTCCCCGCAAGTTTAACTCTCGCAGCTTAGAAAGTCCATGAAAAATTCCTGTTGGAAGCGTCGATATTTTATTTCGCCAACAGGAAAATCGTGTCAGCAGTTTGTTATTTCTCAGATTTGGCAGATGTTCAATTCGGTTGAAGCCTAATTCGACGGTTTTCAAATTAATTAAGTCAGAAAACTCATCTTCTTGGAGTGAAGAAATAGAACATGCATATGCAGAAAGTTCAGTCAAGTTGCGCAGTTTCTTAAAGAATCCGGGAGGAATTTGTGGTAGTTCTCTGTTCCAACTAATATCAAATGTCTTTAAATTATAAAGACTTTTTAACATGTCACCGGGTAAATCCTTTATCCAATTCCATTCTAAATCCAAATATTCCAATCGGGTGAGATTTCTAAAGACGAGTGGATGAATCGATTTAATTTTATTGTAAGTTAAGTCGAGTTTTGTCAAATTGTGAAGATTATAAAATAGATCTTTGCGTAAAACTCGTAAGTTACCATAAGTGATGTATAATTTGGAAAGATTAATTAACTCTCGGAAAGGTTTGTTGGGAAATAAAGAGAAGTTATAGAAGTCAATTCTCAATGAAGTCAGCGATGGAACATTGTGAAATGTTAAATTTAGAAGTTGCGACGTCTTCACGCCTCGTATTTCGACAGATCGCAGAGAGGACATGTTATTAAACGAGGCGCTCTCGAACATTCTTTCATACACATTTGTTGAGTGAAATATCTTGACGTGTTCGATTCGAAGTCCAAACGTAAATATTCCAAAGTCAACTCCGGACAAAAAACAATCTTTAAATAATATCTCTTGTACATTTTTAACGTCCAAACAGCGCATCAAACGAGAGTCAATCGTTTTCTTGCCGCACTCGATGGTCAAGGTTTGATTAAATATTTCAACGGAGGAAAAGTTCTTTGATTCGTAGCAGATATCTGCCGATGACGTACAAGAAACGTTTACCCAACTTTTCCAAAAGTCTTGACAAGAATTTACCACTAAAAATAAAAATTGCAAAACGATAACAAACCTCATCTCGTCCGACGAAGATTCTAATTCATTCGACACGAATAGCGTCAAAAACAGTCGACGAACAATACATAATCGTCAAACCGTATTTACATATTTAGTACTGTTACTACTTTCCTCTGACAGACTGAAATTCTGACGTCTGCGACATCTAATCGTCATTTCCGCCAGAAATATTACGTATACAGTTTTTAATCTCCTCGTTTATTTCCGTTGTAGTAATAGAAACAATATCGGATTAACGTTAAATAAATATATTATTTTAATAAAAAATTTGTTTTGCACATTTGTTACAAGTGTGTTGTTCGTTTAAATAAATTCATATTGTAAATTAAAATATTATTTTTTCTCTAAGGCGTGTCAATTAATTTATGAAAATTTGAAAAATGAAAATAAATTAATCTTCGAGTAAGAAACTTAAATAAATTGCGAAAGTTTGCATCTAAAATTAATAAATTTTACCAACGAAAAAAAGGATGTTGAAGTTTGATAAAGGAAAACACGGAAAAATAAACTTTAAAACAAAACCGAAGACGAAAGAAGTTTAAAAGACGAGGAAATAATTGTAGTAAATGTGGTCATTTACAGACTTAAATGTTTAGTTTTTATAGGTAATTACTTTTTTTATCGTTTGCATTTAATTGTTAAACAAATAAATAAATAATTCGTCATCTTACGACTGATCCTTCTGTAAGTAGTGAATGTCTTTATTACGTAGAACTGTTTTTTGGTATGTGTATTGTACGTCATCACAAACGTCATCGCAAACATTGTTAGACAACGAGAAAATTTCAATCGGTAACAATAACATATGTCATCATCGAAACAACGTATGAAATTACATCAATCGCCGTAAGTTACGACCCGACATTCGAACGAGTATAGTGGAAGCGGAAGGAACGTCACTCGGTACGGGTTACATCCGCATTTGTGACGTAACACTCCAGTTAAGAAAAGGCAATTTTGTTTTTAATTATTTAAAGTCGAAATGTTTATAAGTAAATGTTTACGAGGAAGAATGCAAACCAGTTTACGTTCACTCCGAATATAAAAAGTTTTAGTAGGCCAATAATCTCGTAAATTGTCGAATTAATACAATAGTGTTCAGCCATTGCTTAGGCTTATAACACGCTCTCTAGTGGCAAGAATTCTGTTTTCTAGTGTAAGTCTCGTTTCCTTATTTACTACACGAAATGTGGACAAAGTGCAATCAACACTACAGATTTCGTGCATGAATTAGTACTTTATTATTCATCCCTTGTGCAAGATGGCGAAAAGAAAAAGCACGATTTCATTGGGAAAAAGCGTGAAGAACAAAAGAAAGGGCAACAGACTTGAAAGTCGAAGTAAAACGAAAGTATAAAGCGGAAATCCGCGTAAACGGAAACTTTTTCGGAACGAAGCGATTCTGTATGCTAAATTTTACTCTAAGTCGAACTTGTGTAACGCGGATGCAGAAGAGATGTTTTATNATTTTAATAAAAAGTTTGTTTTGCACATTTGTTACAAGTGTGTTGTTCGTTTAAATAAATTCATATTGTAAATTAAAATATTATTTTTTCTCTAAGGCGTGTCAATTAATTTATGAAAATTTGAAAAATGAAAATAAATTAATCTTCGAGTAAGAAACTTAAATAAATTGCGAAAGTTTGCATCTAAAATTAATAAATTTTACCAACGAAAAAAAGGATGTTGAAGTTTGATAAAGGAAAACACGGAGTTTTCTTGTTCGAACAATAAAATATCGACACTTCCTACAGAAATATTTCACGGACTTTCTGAACTTCGAGAGTTATCGTTGTGGGGAAACCGGTTAGAAAATCTTCCCGAAGATGTTTTTCAGAATTTGTCGTCATTGCAAAGACTCGTTTTATCACGTGAAGACGTCGGAACTTCTAAATGTAACATTTCGCAACGTTCCATCGCTGACTTCATTGAAAATTGACGGGTATAATTTCACTTTATTTCCGAACAAACCTTTCCGAGAGTTAATTAATCTTTCCGAATTATACATCAAGGATGGTAAGTTAAAAGTTTTACCAGATCTATTTTATAATCTTCACAATTTGACAAAACTTGATTTAAATGACAATAAACTTGAATCGATTAATCCA